AGCTTTGAATTTATGCTACCTCATTAAATTCAGAGTCTAGCTGATCTGAGGCAGGTGAGATGTTGGATGACGTAGGCCTCTCCTTCACAAATCGCTCCAGAAAGCTCAGAGCATTCATGAATTTCCATTTTCTCTGACTTCCTCCCTCAGAGCCACTTTTCTTCTCCCTTTCTGCTTTCCTCTCCTTAATATACTTATCTCTCAAATATTTCCATTTCTTTCTGCCCTCATCCTCTGAATAAACGTAATGATTAACAGTTTCATATAACCTTACATGTTTGCAAACAATTGTCAGTGACTGCCAGAGCGGTATTCACCTCGATTTTTATATTTGTAATACTTCTCAAAATACTATTAATGAGAAAAAAGTGCATTGCGCGACACTGAAAAGTTTTATCTTAGCAAGGAAAAGGTAACTAGCTAAGGGCTAGCACGACAGTCAATAAACATTAGTGTAAAAACGGTATTTTGCTTACCAGTTATTCCAAGCTCCAAGCCTATGCGTCTCCATGCATTGTTTCTCCTATTGGCGTCAAAATAATGGGGGCTTGACAAATCATAAAGTTCAGGAAATCCCTGGACCAAAATAATGAGCTGCTCCTCCATGTTTCTGCTGAGGCGTCAGTGTAACGGAAAAGGCGAGGAAGCTAATTGGTTGAATCTTGTCACATGACTCGCGGTGCGTTTGCGGCATTTTGAAAAGTTGAGATGTTTCCAACTCGTCGCGGCGCAGACGCGCCTGAAAAAACCGGGCGCGTCGCACCACGTGCGCGTCGCGACCGCGTCGCTTCCGTTATGAGCGCGGCTGCCGCGCGTCTACATTTGAAATAATGGACTTGAGCGCGCAAAAGACGCGATATGTGAACGCCCCCTTATGCGTGTTCTTGATCAACGGCCACTGGATATGGACTTTCTAGAGTTTACCTGTCGCCAGGACCTGGTTTTTCTTAATGCTTTGTCTGAACAAATTGAGGTGCCACCGCAAATCTTTAGTGGTTTAGTCGACATCCTCAGTATGATTGAATACGAAAAAGAACTCCACCAACAGCCCGTAATCTTGGAGGAGGACAAAACTGGTCCTGGGCGTCCGAGGCTGCATTTGAATGAAGATCGTCTCTTACATCTTTTAGGCATGCAGCTGCCAGTTCCCTGTATTGCAAATTTACTGGGAGTGTCTAAACGTACTGTTTTTAGAAGAATGGCAGAATGCAATGTATCTGTCAGGGGACATTACAGTACTCTATCCAATGAGGAGCTTGACAGACTTATTATTGATATAAAAACATCAATGCCTAATGCAGGGTACAGAATGGTCAGAGGAGCCTTGAAGGGAATTGGACATCTGGTACAGTGGGAGAGGGTGGTGGCATCTATGCATCGTGTAGATACAGCAGGAATTTTGTCAAGGTTGACTCAGCTTGGCTGTGTTGTAAGGAGAACCTACTCTGTACCTTGTCCAAAATTCCTTTTCCACATTGACACCAACCACAAGCTTATTCGGTGAGTGTAAAGTAAGTATTACTGAAAATAAAGATACCTTTTTGATACATTGTTGTGTTGCACATATACCTCAGGAACATAGCTGAGAAATTCTTAGTGCTCAGTGAAATCATTCCTTGTTTACTGTTTGTAGATATAACATTGTCATATTTGGCGGCATTGATGGATTTTCAAGGAAGGTTGGTAATAATAATTTGAATTTTTAAACATGGATTAAGTTGGCTGTTTTGTTTTGTTGTTATACTAAAATGTTCACTTAATTGCTGTAATTATCACAAAGTAATTTGGTTGCTACTAATGAATGGTTCTCATGTTCTGTTATATAGATCATGTATCTTGGAACTGCAAACAACAATTTGGCCTCTACCACACTGAGATTTTTTAACCAAGCTGTGCAGCAGTATGGCTTTCCACTGAGGTTAGATTAGTTTACTATTTACCAGTGCAGACAGGTCAGAATAACAGTAATACAGCTTTCTATATTCAACTGTTTATTGCATTTTATTTCCAGGGTTCGGGGGGACCACGGCAACGATGAATGTGGATGTTGCCAGGTTGATGTTCACAGTACGGGGAACAGGAAAGGGCAGCTACAGTATATAGCTGGAAAAAGTGTGCACAATCAAAGGTACAAATATAAACAAAACTTTATGTAAACAAGGTCTCTGAGATACAAGAGTTCTCTTTTTTAAAGGACATTATAAAGTGACACATTCATTGATGTGTCACTGTGGCCTGAAAAGATTTTGCCAGTGACTTTGGTTATTATCTATGAGGCTAATACATTATACTGGAAACTGGCCATATGGCTTTATTGGGCTATGCTACACAACCCCAACCAACTTTTTTTCAGTCACACTGAGACTATCTCACTCCTCTCTTTCTCTCTTCAATAATAAACAAAACACTGTATTAACAAAGTCTCCACACTGGTACTGGTGTTGCCATTCCTTATCTTAAAACATGTCCAAGTTGTTGTCATCCTCTGCATAGACTTACCAGCTTGCCTAGAGGAGTATTCTCTGTATTTGTTCTACTGTTTCTGATTGACAAACTAAAATTTTTGGTATCCAAGAATTTTTATGAGTATATGAGTGCAGTGAATATGGAAATACTTATGTACTTTATCACAGAAGTAGAATTCATTTAATAATGTGATTTTCAGACACTTTTTAGTTTAACCAAAGTGTATTATTAGTCTGTTGATGAATGTATAAACCAAGGGAAGAAACAAACTAATAAAAAATACTGTTTGAATGTTCATCCTAGAATTGAAAGGCTGTGGCGAGATGTATGGATGGGTGTCACCTGGACCTTTTATAATCTCCTTCACAATTTGGAGGAACAGGGGAATCTGGACATCTCTGACAGTGTGCACCTGTTCTGTTGCCATTACGTCTTCATCCCTCGGCTTCAGACAAGCCTTCATGTCTTCTGTTGTGGTTGGGATGATCATCCCTTACGATCAGAGGGAAACATGACTCCTAACCAACTGTGGGAAGTTGGCCAAATGCAGAATCCCATCCCAGATCCAGTCGGTTTGGAAGTCAGTAGGCGCTAAACTTTGCCCGATATATTCAAAGTACAGATAAACTCAAAAAATTTGATAGTATAATGCATTTATTCATGTCATTACAAATAACTGTTCATGTCATTTCAGGAATTGCATATTCCCAACATTGACTGGGAAGATAGTATACAGATCAATTTCCAGGCTAACTATGGTGTGACTGTACCAGAATTGAGGAGTCCACTTACTGAAGAACAGCTAAATCAACTGAGTGAGCATTGACCCACTACGTCCTTCAGACTGTTATGGTGTAGACATTTATCAGGCAACACTGAACTTTGTCCAGTCTCTTTTAGAAGAGAGTGTGCTATGAGATTATACAAGCTAAGGATGTTTTCTCCCTAGTTTTCATCTCATAGCTGTGGCCTCCCAGTTGTAAGAATTAAACAATGTTGTAATGTATGTAATGAAAGAATTTCCTATTTAACTGTACTGTAGTCTAGTTGTTGCCCTGTTTTACCAAAGAATACAAACAGCATGTTACCGAATTTAAGAACTTTAATTAGGTTATACCATATAGAAAACAGTATAAACAGTCATGGAAAACTATTTTTTTATAATAAAGCAGCTGGATGACTTGACAACCATCTCTCTATATTAATGGGATCCACACTAAAAAAAATTAGCCAAAGATGCTACGCCTCATAATTGAGAAAAAAAATGTGATCTGGGCTTATTTTCATTTCAGCTGATAGGTAAAAAAGAAAATTAGTAAAACAGAACAATCAGTATAGCTAGAAAGCTTTTATGCTGCAACCCTTAATGAACCTCCGGAAAGCACCAGACTGACTTCTACATATTTTACCAATTAAACAGAACTCTTTGGTCAGAGTATGTACAAATACTGCTCAACGATATGGGTACAATATTGGGTAGTTCTGCTTAACAAACCTGAACTTTACATTTAGACTAACCCAAATCCGTACATTACTGAACTTAAGCAGGTCTGCATGTCTGTCTGAAACGAAGGAAAATCAGTGTAGTGGCCTGGAAGCCGAAGTGTCTCAAAGCAGGTTGAGGCTTTGGGCATAGAGCTGGTGGTGAACTCCACTTTAAGTTCCTTTGGCAGAATTTCCCAGCCTACCCAGAACTTCAAAAGCTTTCTCAGTTCATGGGCTGATGCTAAAGGAAAAAAAAAACATTTTATAGTTTATTACAATTATAGTGAACAGTACTGCTCATTTACAGTTTCCATAACATTTCGATTACAATGTGTGATTGCTGCAAAGTGATTCAAAATGTTCTGG